GTTAAAATGAAGAAAAAGATTGATTTTGGGAATTGTTGAATTGTTGCTACTATATATTTATATGCATGAGAATTTCTGCAGGTGATCATATGGACTGTAGAAATAATATTAATAAAAAAAACTCTGTAGGGTATTTTCTAATTTCCCCATCCGATCAAATTGTTTCACGTTTTACTTACACGGAAATTAATAAATAATAAAAGAAAATTTTATCTATTTTTTTTCTAGAAAATAGAAAGTGAAATTTTTTTGGGATGAACGAAAAAGAAAATGAGTAACTTTTTTATGGGACGGAAGAAACACATTTTACTCCGATCCTTCCGTCCCATTAAATTCTCGACAGTCTGACTTTACAAAGTTTAAAAATGTTGTTGAAAATTCTAATTTTAGCAAGGCAGTCAGTCGCGATCTAAGTTATTGTCCCTAAAAACGTTTTTGAACTCAATCTTTTTCCAGTTTTGTTGAATACTAAAATTAAGATCATGCATGCTTGGCATCAACAATAGAGGTTAACGTTGGCGTTTTGAAAAGACTATCTGACGCTAGTCTTTAGCGATGGCGTTTTTAGAAGTAATCTATATCCTTAAAATTTTATGTTAAATACTAACGCTAGCTAGCTAATCGAAAACGTTGTTCCGAATTCCCAAACATGACCTAAATCTATTTACTAGACATGAAAAAACTCATTAATTAATTAGTTGTGGACGTCAAAAAAAATGTACAACTAGTTGGTACGAAAGAGAGTATATTATACGGAGTAATTAAAGAGTGTTTCAACATCAAACCTTTTATGTGTACGTGTATTTATTTGTATATATATATGTCTGGAAACTGCAGTACGTGTAAAGTTGACAAACAAACGACTGCAGTTTGGTAATAAATAAATAAATAAATAGATAAATAAATAAAACATAAATAAATAAAAATAATTAGGTTGTCGTGAGTTGATGGACCATGTATCAAAATCAAGTCTAAATGTTAGCGTTACAGGTGACCAATATATTGAGGGCTTAAAATATTGGCAATGATTGATCTCATCTCATATTCTCATCAACCACTTATATATTAATACTCCCTACTTTTCTTAAAATATTTCTGACCTAATTTTTTGTGCATCCCATAAAATATTTCTACTCTATCTAAAATGTTTAATATATTTTCAAAACAATTTTTATCTTCAATAAACTACAAAATGGAAGTGCACTTTAGATATATTGAATGAGGTAGAAGTGTTTTGAGGAATGATCAAAAAATTTGGATGGAAATATTTTGTGAAACGGAGGAAGTAACTCCCTTGTGTCGTCTCTTCCAGAACGTAACTTTTGATATGACTTTTAAATATACATATATATTTTATTTTTTAAATTTTACACATAATTTTTTTAAAATTTTTATCTATAATTAAATAAATTAAATTGAAAATAATTTCAATTACATCTCATAAACCGAGACGGGAAGAAAATTTTATACCGAAATAGGAGGTGATATCAAAATTAACACCATAAAGATATTATGTATGCTTGCATTAAGTATCATTGTAAGGAAAAAGACCAAACTAAAAATAAAACATTGAAAATATATACCAAAATATAAGTTCAATATTTTCATTTTCGAAATAGAAGTTAAAATACGTGGTTAGGTTTTTTTGGTAATTGATACAAATAGGGTAGTCAATTTGCTCATTTTTGTAGTGACATGGTTTGAGAGTGTTAAAACACGTAGAAAATAATAGTTTGAAGTGAAACTCGATTTAAAAAAACCGGGGTTGAGAGTTGGGCTTGAGAACATGAAATATTGAAATTTAATTTCCTAAGTTTTACCCTCATCACACAATGCTGCTTTCTTCACTTTGAGGATTGGGCCTGGCCTTCAAGTAAAAAGGGCAGCCCCGTCCGTAATTATTACTCCGCACTTCGTACTTACTCTGTTCTATAATAC